TCCCAGAATGTTTTTAATGATTGCTGCAGGAATGAATGAGTAAAGGTTTCAAGAATAAATAGTTGTGGAAAACCAACTTACTGTTATATATAAGTTCATGCAGCCCCTGGGTACAAGCACTTATGTATCTCCTTTTGTTGAGTTCTCTATTTTTTTTATGAATATGCATACTGGGGAAAAACTTCCATCTGCTCTTTTTTAGCTGATTCTATCACATTTTTGAGCTGTGCATCATTATGGAGCTTCAGAAAAAGATGATCATTTACATTACATATGGATATAAAAGAGAGAAAGAGTTGATGAATTGCAAACAGTATAATTTATATGGACAAAGTGTGCCAGAAGTGCTTTTCACCCCATTTTACTCTGCAAATGGAATGATTCCTGCCCATTCACTTGGCCCGGTGCCCAAGAACTCAGAGAGGAAAACCATCCTGTTACTTATATGCATCAGGATTCCACTCCTTTCCTGTGAAGAAAAGGTTCTGTGCACTCAGGCCCACCAGGGACACCAGAAGGTCAAAAGAGATCACAGAATTTACTAATGTTATTTTTTAGGTTCTTTCATCATGGCTTCTTAATTTGTAATATACATCACGCAAACACATTGATACTCTGTTGGTAATTCAAATGTAAAGATTTGCATGATGAAAAAGGAAAGGAGAGTAATGAAAATATCACATTTTCCTGGTGACCTCTCCCTGCACTTTGATTTCCCATGGCAGATCATTTGCCTAAATGTCCATAAGCTTCATAAATATGTAAATATCTACATTTAGGGTGTCTTCCTAAGGGTTTCTCTTTTGGCAGTAGCACAATCAGCCATGACTCCATATTGTAAAGCCCAGGGCCCATGGTGTAGTAATAGCACTAATAATCTCAAATCTTGTATTTATTTATTCGTTCATTAATATAGGCATTTATTTATTTATTCAATCACACAGTCTTCAAAAATAGTTATCCCTGTCATGTGCCAAGGATGAGGAATCAAAGCTAATTACAACATAGCCTCTTTCTAGACTGTCAGCAGTAAAGAAAGAAATGTTCTGTCATGATAGAAGGGTCATTTATCTGCCAAGTTCTGTTAAATGAGCTGATTCTCTTTCATTGCTGCTGGACATTACAGTTGTCTAAGCCCTCAGACAATTTGTCTGAAGAATTTAAAATTACTACAAGTTCGTGCCTATGTTATTATAGCATGTGCACTGCTTCCATTTTATTTTTAGATACCAGTTTTTATGCACATACTGCGTGCACTGTGCTGAGTGCTTTGCCATATTACCTCATTTATCAACACAGTAATATGAAATATTAGTACTATAATTATTTTGTAGAGAGAAAAGCCCAAGCTCAGAGAATAGTGACCTGCCCAATATCACATAAGTCTTCAAACCAGGACCTCCAGTCTATGTGTGTAGGTCAACGTTGAGTGTGATCAGATGAACTCAGCAGTAAGCTAGGAGGTAAGATAAAGTGAGAGTTTTATCTGTCTTATTTCCATAGCCAAAAAACCTGGTCAGATTTACAAACTCTTGTTCTCTTGCCTATATTTAGTTTCTATTCATTCTGCTTTCAACTTTTACATAATTTTAGCATGACTTCCCACTTTATAAAGTAGCACATGAAGTCTGCATGCTGATTAGTTATACAATTTTCTTTGTTCATGATGGGGGGATGGAAGTGCGTGCATGTGTGGGCTGATGGAATATCTAAAATTTCTTCATACTATTTTTCTCAGAAGTTATGCTTGTAACGGAAGTTTCTCAACATGAAATGTCATCAATTTGGCCCCACTCAGGAAGTTGCAAGGCACTTGACTCTAACCTCAGTGAATTGTATGTTCTCTAAAACCTGATAATCTTTAGCTGCCTATCATTTTTAAAGTTTTAAAAGTTGTTTTATTTCTTAACTAATTGTCTTGGCAATTTCTTTGCTAAAAAAACTTCTGATAAAATGCTTCAGAGTAAAGATACATTTGTATTTATATCAGCAATAGAATTGGGAGTGGAGGTAGGAGCAAGAATTTAAATGATCTGAATTTTGCTCTTACCAAAAATACATTGTGAGAATTTTATCCATTTATCTGGAATAAAATTTCTCTAACCATGTACACCATCACAACATACTTGAATTCGTAAATATAGGATAACCCTGGGATCAGAATAATCATTTCATCCCCAAACTGTATTACCTTTCTATGCTGAAAGATAGCCGGTTCTAATGAAGAGGATATGGGGGGATTCTAATGCAGATTACCTAATCCAAAAGGCCTTTATTGACATAGTCTCAGGCAACATATATGCTTAATGTCTAACTATTGTCAAGTGAACAAATAAGCTAATGAGACTAAGACTCTTACCAGGTTTCAGCCTAGAAACACAAAGCCAGTGTGATCATCTGTAAACATTAAAATGTCAGCCCTCTCACCACCTCCACATCTACTCTTTAAAGGCTCAGACTCATGTCTCTCTCCCAGCCAAAACAGCAGAAAATCTAAGCCCCTGAGCTACTTCACCACCTTGGATGGACTAGTTTCTACCTTTCCACTCCTCTTTATCCAGCTTTCCATGGTTAAGAGAAAAACCTGAGAAAGAGATGCAGTAGGTACAGTGAAGGCAGCAGCACCCCCTTAATATGGTGTATACTTTTGCTACAAATGTATCCTTTTTAGTACTGTGATCTGTGAAGGAGCCATCCTTTCATCAATTTGAGCCTCATGGTGTCTTCACTTTCCTCTCATTCCCTCTTTGCAGTAATCCAATCTCTCTTCCTATACTTCTGTCTCCTCAAGGCCTCTGCAACACTTCTACTCAAAAACATTTCCCTGAATCCTTGATTGGGTACCAGATATTCATTTTGAAAGGATAGAAGTTGTGACTGAGAATGCTTCACAAGAGATTTCTACCACTTTACAATCAAGTAATTCTTTCTTTAGGTGCTGCCTAACCTACAATTTCCTGATATTATTATAAAGTAGTTGTACTTTCTTGACCTCCCTTAAATATCTGGTTGATTAAAGTTTAAAAATTATGGTCAGTGGCTATGGTGTGTCCAATGAGTCCAAATAGAATAATCTATTTGGAGCAGTAGCCATAGCAGGAGTGGGGCCACAATGGAGACAGCATGTTGGAAGTTTGAAACACCTTTTACTGCTGTGGAAAGGGAAGAACAGAAGTAGGCGTGTGCTTTACTCCTGACAGAGGCAGTGCATATGGGATTAAATCTCATGGATCTGAAAAAAAAAAAAAATACATTAGAGATTAACAGTTGTTCCATAGCATTTGAAATAACACTTTGTGTTTCTTGATTTTTCCTAAGGTATTATGTTTTATGTATTTTAAAAAAATTTTCGGTCACTTTAGAAGGTATTTACCTATAGGCTGAGTGGATTGATTTAAATATAAATATAGAATATGTTACATGAGAATCATTATTGTATTTAATGCATTCCAGCAAACATTTCCTAAATGCCACTCTGTACCCAGTGTAATACCATGCATCAGAGATTAAGAAGGCTAAACAAAATAATCTCTGGCACAAGGAGGTCACAGTCTCATGGAAGGACAAGTGTCATACAGATAGATAAAGTATAAGTGCTATAATCAACAGAGATGCAAGTTGCTATGGAAACACAAAGAGGAGAACACCAAAGGAAATCATGAAAGGGCTTCACAGAGTAAGTGACTTTTGTGAACTTTAAGATGGAAAACAAAGGGTAGCTTATGGATGCAGAAAATAGCAGGAACAATTCCAGGAAAATAAATAGCAAAAGAAAAGTCACAAAGGGAATAGTGAATTCAGGGATTTGAAAATAGATTGTTATGGCTGGAGAGTATAAAATGAAAGGTGTGAGAAGAAATACATACTCACAACATAGGTAAAAAACAAATGGTTGGGAAAGACTTATGTATCCTGGAAGAGAGTTTCAATATTATACTAAAGATGATGAGAAGCCACCAAAAAACTTCAATCCAAGAAGTACATGATTTGATTTGCACATTGGAAAGATCTTTCTGGAGGCTGTGTGGAGAATGGACCAAGAAGGAGGGCACTGGAAGAACAGAGGTCAGTTGGAAAGCTATTACTATATTTTACACATGAAACATGAGGTTGCAAATCAAGACAGCAACTTTGGGAATGGCTAGAAAGCCATAAATATGAAAGCATTTCTAAATGTAAGATCTATAGGGCTTGATTACTTTTTGAATCTATATGAAGAGTATATATGTCAGATGAAGTGAGATTTTCTGCTTTAGGTAACTAGCTGGGTGTTGGTACTACTAAAGAGAGGTAGGCTGAGAATAAAAAAGGAGAGACAAATTTGTAGAGGAAATCAAGGATTTGGGCATATTGAGTTGAAGCTTCCTAAAGTGCTATGGACTGAACTATGTACCCCCCACCCCAATTTATATGTTTAACCTCTAACCCCCAGTGTATGTAATTTAGAGATGGGGACTTTGGAAGATAATTTGGTTTACATGAGGTCATGAGGGTGAGGCTTCATGATGAGATTAGTGGCCTTCTCAGAAGAAACACCAGAAAGCTTGCAATCTCTCTGTGCCTTGTGAGGACACAGTAAGAAGATGGCTTTCTGCAAGTCAGGAAGTGAGATCTCAGCAGAACCCAACCACACTGGCAACCTAATCTTGAACTTTTAACCTCCAGGACTGAGAAGATGAATTTCTGTTGTAAGGCACCCAGTTTATTGTATTTTGTTGTGGCAGCCTGAACGGACTGATGCATAGAAGTATTCAGGAAATTGGATGACACAGATCTGGGGCTCAGGAGACAGACTGAGGTGAAGCATATGATTTGGGAATAATATATATATATATATATATAGATAGATATAGATATATCTATATCTATCTATCTATATATATATATATATCTATTTATAAAAGTAAGGACTGACCATAAGACCTTGTCTTGTAGGAGATATTCTGTCTAAAGGTCTAATATGAAAATACTTTAAGTAAAACTAGTCTGAAAAATATCAAATGCACACAGTTCTTTTTATTATTAAAATTAGGGCATTTCAAAATTAAAAGTATTTACATTTAAACGTGAAACATCTGTACATTATTAAAATTAGTTTTACTAATTAGAATTGACAATATCTTATCTATACTTTTATAGCAAATAAGTGAAGAAATCAACAAAAAATAATTACTGAAACTCCACTGTGGATCAGTATAAAAGTCTCCAATATTAACCTGTACTTTCCCAGTAAGTATAAAGATGAGTGTAAATGCTTCTTAGACAATTGGCTATCACACACATGCTCCACTGCTATTCATTCAATAATATATACAAATTCAAACCTGGCAGGTATGAAAAAGGTGTTCGTTTCTTTTTGCAGAATTTATCATTTTGCACTTATGAAGTCAAATAAAAGCTTATGTCACACATACCAAAGATTTATACTGTACATTTCTAATACAGACATGTGAAATATTAACATGTAGAATTTAAAATAATAAATATACATATCGTTTATAATAATTGGGAATGTTAAAGATATGAACTTTTATGTACAATTATTCAGATTAAAACATTTTAACTTTAGGTTGTATCCGCAAATACTTCTCTTCCTCTCCGATTTGATCTTTTAGCTCAAGGAAAGTTAAAATGGAGTACATCTGTAGATATAGAGTTCAGAATGTGTGTTCAGTCACTTGTTTCTGTGATAGTTATCTTCTGTACCATGTTGGAAAGATTTTCAGACTCCAGATCTTCTTTGCCATTATCTGAATTTTCTGATGAGATGTAACAACCAGAGTCCCTTGGGCAGTCATCTAGTTGTGACTTATTTAAGGAGGTGTCTGGGCTTAAGGATAGGGGCACAGATTCATTTTCTTGCTCTTGAACATCTGTAAATGGAAAAGAAGGCAGCAGTTAGGCAAAGCCAAAAAAAGTTTTATTCATGCACGCATTTATCTTCAAGCTCTTTCAACTGTTCTAACCTTGACTTCTTATAATTGAAACTTCTATAAGTAAATAACATATTTTTTTTTATTATAAAAGAGATATTTACACTCAACTATTCAAACCACTGTTTTCTTAGAAGACAAAGTTTCCCCTTTGTTGCTCGCTTGCAGTTTCATGGAATTCATGTTAACTGCTTGCATAAGCAAAGATCAATATGGACTCTCATTTTACATTAGTGATGACTTGCCAAAGAAAGCAGATTGTATCCACAGTGTGACTGATGCCTTGTCCAAATACTCCTTAAAGAAACATTAGAAAAAGTAATTTGTAGATTATCCGTACAGTCCATAGTCCGTAGTGAACAACTCTAGAATCATGAAAATGTGGATTAGTGAATAAAGGATCACTGTGGACAACAATGTATAACAGGATTTCACTTACTTGGAGTTTAAATAATAAAACTTGGAATATTCGAGATTTCCCTTTTTATCAAACAAAGAAACCAGGTTTCTTTTGGGTAGTAAAATACCACCATTTCATCGAATCTTATTTAGTTTGTTTCGTATATCTGTTTGTAGTTCTAACAGTCATTTATATTCAGATTGGTAATTGTGTCATAAAAGCAGTATTTTAGATTCAATTGGTATTATCTTTTTGAAAAAAAAAATATTATTAGTGATGTAACAAAAGATTTTTCTAAAGAACCTAAGTAGCCCTGTTAAGTTTTACTCTTCTCAAGAATTCTTTAGCATCAGCTTTCTTTTTGTTAACGTGATATTTCTTTCTTTGCCTTCCCTGACACCAGCAAATGAGTATTTCTCTTCATCATGAGATGGACCTTAGCTCTCAGCTATATCAATATGTTTTATTCTTTTCCCTTCTAACCTTGGAACTTACCTCACTTTGGACATTTGAATAGCCCCACATTGCAAAAACCAAATATATACATTTCAGGGTGGAACAAGACCTCTGCCTTCAGTGGCTACATACTTCATCCCATTCCAGTCGGAACAAAGTAAGTACCAACTTCAAAATCCATGAGAGAAAAAAATGGTGTAGTTTTCCTTAATAAACTCTTATAATGCTGAGTAATTTATCTTTAGGAAATATCCCTTTATCTTATCTACACATCTGCTTTTTAATTGCATTTTCTAGGCTCTAGCTACCTTGCCAACATAGTTTATGATCCATTGTGTATCTAATTGTTGTCAACTAGAGAGAACTGAGCCCTGGTGCCCCACAGCATCCTATGTTTAACGAATTAACTTCTCTTTAGTGTACCTGGAATGGTACTAGTTATGCGCTATCTATGGAGAAGCTGAGAAAAAAGTTACTTAAATTATTTTCTGTGGTTTAGATAATGAATACAGGTTGAGAAAGGTTAGAAAAAATGATAAAAATCATTTTTTAGTCTACTCATCTTCAAAATGAATCATAAGTCTTTTTAATCTTTTCCTCAAAGTTTTTATTTGCAACAATGAAAACACATTTATACCATTTTCCAAATCTTCTCTACATTTGTACAACTGCTTTTAACTATGGATTCAACTATCAAATATTTAAAACTAGTAATGTTATAACTAGTTCTAGGTATAAGGAGCTTTAATTTTAATATGCATCTATTATGATTGTTATTTTAAAATTTTAGCTACATGAAGGATTTTCTATTTATTAGTCATAACAACATATATGTTGGGGGAATCTCTTAACCTACTTGATATTCATTAGTCTTTGTGAGCATCCATGTCTTCACTTTTGTTTCCAAGTGTGTGTGTGTGTGTGTGTGTGTGTGAGAGAGAGAGAGAGAGAGAGAGAGAGAGAGAGAGAGAGAGAAGGCAGCTCTGAAATGGGACTTCATTCTCTGAGCAGAAGCTTTCTCCCCTGCCTCTGCCTGTCTATCTTATTGCCACTGAAATGAAGTGAGCCAGCTCTATGTTCCATTATCCAAGTGTTTCTGGAAAAGGGCAGAGTAAAAAAAGCCCTTTTGTTTGCTTCCTGTGACATCAGCAGTGACCATCCTATATGGAGTACAATCCTCTTAGAATGGTTGTGGGGATAAAGCCATGTTTCTCCAAATTATATTTGAGCCTATCACCTGAACACAAAATTAAAATTACTGAGCTACTTCCCTTCTGACTGACATCTAAACAGGATTTGGCATAATTAAAACTGCTCCCAATACCATGTTCTATTTAGGTTGATTACTGATTGTGGTGCTGTCTTCAGTATATAAAATTTAGGCTTAAAGAACTCTGATTTCCAAAATTAGCTCTTTTCCTTTCAAAAAAGTAATTACTTAGCTTGTTATTTTATCCTCAGAAGGTTTTATACATTCATCTCAAAAGGCAATGAGTAAACAAACAATAAATAAAAATTTGACTTTAATAGAGAATGTAATTTTTTTAATATTAGTAATAAAATCTATTTGTTTTTATTTTTGAGAAACATTATATCACATTCTCTAAATTCTAGGAATTGGTTTGTTTTAAATACAGGTTACTTGTTGCAGAAACCTTTCATCTGCAATTTTTATGGAAAAAGGAAATAGTTTCTCAGTATGAAAGTTATGCAGCACTGTAATTTACAGAACAGCAGTAATTTGCTAAATGATTTCCTAGTAGAATGAAAACATGACTGTGCCTCCTCAAATGCTTCCCACCAGGCTTGCAATAATTTCAGGCAGGTGATCAGCTGGAGTCCCTCAACTGTAACTATAAAAAGAAAAGGCAGGTCATTATGTTATATTATGGAAATGAAAGCTATATAGCATTCAGTTTTTGTATGTGGTGGGTCAAGATTTTTTTTTTATTTTCTACATTTTGTCTTATTTTTCATTCTGACACTAATGACTTAGAGATTGGCATAAACCTAGTATTTGTGCTATGGATAGTTTTTCTAGCAGAGGGGATGAGTTCACAGTAATGCATCCATATTTTCTTTCTAAGTTATTTAGTCCCTTCACGTGACCATGAAACAGTAAAGCTAACTGACCTACCCAGAAATCTCGAGACTGTAACCTTTATCCCATGGTCCAATCATCTGAGCTAACTACGCAAGTGAGATTGAAATAAAAAATAGTTTGCTTCCAAAATTACAGATTTGTCATAATATAGCTGAGTGCATCTTTATACCAAAAAGTTTCTGATAATATGTTAACTTAAAAATTCCATATGTATGTTTGTATATTCCATTATTAATATTATGTAAAAACATATATGTGCATATAATTCACAAATGAAAGTATTAAAATTTTGATAGGTTTCTTCTGTAGTTCTCAGATCATCTATAATGTTTTATAATTGATTATAAGTAAAATCAAAAATTAAAATGCTACAATTTTTCAATAAAGTCCTGAATAGTTTGCAAATATCCCAAAGGCTGTACATTTTCAAATCTGAATATATTGGAGGATTATTAAATAATTTGAATAAGGATATTTCCTTTTGCCGCCAGCAAAAAGCAGGCATAATAAGTCCAGAAAGCATTTTCAAATCATTCTGTACTCTATATAATGAAAATAAAATAATTATGCTACGAGAAATTTTTTAGGAAATATTTTGTCATAAAGAACTAATTTAAATATTAAAATATTTTATTCTTATCAGATTTTTTATGTAATTATATAAAGTCCATGGTTCAACATTTCAAGATAGTTAACTGTGGAGATAAAAAGTGTCATGGTGATTATAAAATAATTATATTGGAATTGTGACATTTAATTAAGTATAGGCAATCTCAATTATACTAGAAGTGAAGAAAGCTTTAAGGAAATCAAATTAGATCCCAATTGTGTGAAAAAGTTCTCATACTTTAAGAAGAGAAATCTGTCCTATATTCACATATTAGAAAGTTAAGGATTTGATAAAAAATATAAACTACTAGTTTTGCTTCACTTTCCCAAGTTTCTATACCCATATTCCAGATTCTGACTTTACTGTCTTGATTGCCTTAGGTATGAAGCCTCTGTTGCTTTGGGCCAAGTATGATAAAATAATGCACTCTGAAGTGCATAGAAAAATGCCTGGTCATTCAAAGTACCCAGTAAACAATTAATATTTTTGTATTAAAAGAATATGATATTTAGATTAAAGCAAATATGAACTAAAGAATATTAAATATGGAATTTTGTGGGAATTAAAATGAAAATACCTCACAGCTCTTGGAATTATCCTCCTATTTTTCTCTATCCTGGTGCCGTCTTTAAAGAGGAAAAACCAGGGATATACCTCTTAGGATGGCTCAAAACCTCAGCCTCATGCTGTAGCTACATTTGAGTCACCTTAACCAAAACTCAGGCATTCTTCAGGTAACTGTGGCTGTATTTATTTGTCCAGAGGCAGCATTGTTCATGGAGGAATATTTGGTAGACAATATGGTACAACTCTTGGTTATTTCTAGTTTCGTCTTAAGCACATCCTTAAATCACATGAAAACTTTAATTTCCTAATTATAGTGAATATTTGGTATAAATTTCATTTGAATGTTAACCCACCCTTTGGGGAAAAAAATGATAAACAGGAATCCCCTCATGGAAAATCAGTGAATCACTGTTGTTTTCCTTAGGCCCTTAGAGAATATGGAGTTAAAATGACTGTCCCCCTTTTTATACACCTCTCTTTGTATCTCACCATTATAGTTAGTCTACCCTCTAATGAGATGGGTGCTAGGGAGTAAATCTTTTCACTCATACATACAGCAACCTCCACTTGTACCATGCTGGCTGCTTCAGTAAGAGCAGAGACACACTCGCTCAAGATTACAATCACTCAGCAACAACACAAAGAGCACTGTTAGGCTGCCACTCTGCCTAATCACACATCCCATGAACAGCTTTGGTCCCAGGAAATATTTACCCTTAGTTGAGTTGTTGTCCTATTGGACTATTTTGATAGTGACCAAATAAGATGAAAAACGATCATTTTATATTGCTTAATTAAGAACC